ATTGCAGAAGACTGCCGACCGTGAGCGAACTATACCGATTCTCCCGATCGTAGATTATATTTTAAGTTTCAGTAATTAGCCTCATTGGCAACACTGTCGCTGTTCAGATAATTAAATTTCGAGAAAATCAAAATATTAAAATATGATGCACGTGCTGCCATCTATTTAAAAAAATTGTTAAACGTTAGTTTATTTGAATACCGCTCATTTTAACTGCGGCGTGAACATACCCCCTTAATAAACTCATTTTATTTTAAAGCAACAAAATCTAGTTTTATTTTAAAAGAACCTTGAAAAACTGTCAAGTCCATTTTTACTAACGCTTTTAAATGGCAAAAACCTGCTATCTCCAAAATTAGCACTTTTCAGCTAATAAACAAAATATATCTTGGAAATTTCATCAGCATATTGTAAATAAACACATTTCTAAATGAATACAGTTATTAGATTAATATTTTAAACAAAATTGTATTTTTACAACGTTTTTTTGCTCTCCTGTAAAATTAGTTAAAATGGATTTAGCAGGTTAACACTTTAGGGTGACGATATCTCATTTTGTGTATCTTTTTTTTTTCAAAAACGTTGTCTGTTCTGTTGACGACAAATCTCTAAATAGATAAATTTATAGGTTATGAGCAAAATATTGATTTTGACGTTTTGATTTTTTATTTAAAACTAGTTCCACTAAAAAATTGATGTATTCTTAGATGAGACTCTTTTCGTAATATCTCATACTACACATTTTAACTGTCAAACCCCTGTACACATGTGTTGAGTAAAAAACTAATTTAATTGGCCTATTAATTGAAACCAAGGAATGTCTAAAATTGTCGGTATACCTTATGACTCAATACAAACAAAAAATAGACCTACCAAACATTCGAAAATATATATAAACAAACACTTAATTACGCAATATTTTGTCGCGAATTGTGGTTTAAAGATTTATTTACTAATAAAAACCTGTCGCATAAAAAGTGGTAATAATCGCTTCCGCGTAGGTGACAACGATTTGTAGCTTATGATTCAAGATCAGGTATCATCTTAACGCCTACAAGTTCTTCTAATTAGTACCATATGGCTATTTGTGTGGTACTACGTTTTTAGAATGTTTGCGTAAATATTCTAAAACTCATTAATGGATTGCTTATTAAATACTTCAGATTAGTATGATGTCACGACATTTGTTTCTTTATGATTCACTTTTGTATTCCAAACAAATCGATTTTCTGAAGATATTTTCATAATACATCACTCAGTGAGGAGCATTCAGATTTATTTAGTGGTTTATTTTTCCTCATTATGAACATCTTACAGGGAAATAATTTTCTACACAATACCGAAACAAACGTAATTTAACCCTTCGCGACACGGATGCGTGTCTGTGAGACAAACTAATCATATTTTTACAATTTGCAAATAAGGTAAAACTACCTGTTAACGTCCTATACAAATTCGTGATGTAAATCCGGCCTATTCAAAAAATTGAAATTCTTTTGTAAATACGTTTAAGTTCATCATCATCTTTGCCTCTACAACCCTGCGTAAGACTTGGACTGTTCAAGAATTAGTCTCCATTCCCCCCTATCTTTCACCCTGGCTTTCCAATTTCTGACCCCTAGATTCCTCAAGTCATCTTCGACTTAAGTTTTGAATTTAGATCTTGGCCTGCCTCTCTTCCTGGTTCCTTCTGGCTCTTGATATAATATCTGTGTTTGGGAGTCCCCAGTGTCCATTGCATTGTCCATTTTTGCAACTCAAAATTTTAGCGCCTGCGCCATATCCCGCTTTCTTGTACTCCTCCGTATATGTGCCATATGTGAAGAACATTACAATTCTATGACATAACAATTCTACAACTCTATGACATAACAATTCTATGAATTTAAAGGTGGGCGACTACGAACTGGAGAACCCTGGAGCAGACATCGGTTCAGACCATAACCCCATAGTAGTCACATTACGAACCAAAGTGAAACTGGTTAAAAAACCCACACAAAGTAGAATTGATATTAAGAAATAAAGGGAACCACAAACAAAGGAACAAACTGTAAAAACTCCTACTGAAAATCTACGTAATGCCCAAGAACTGACTAAAAAAGTAGCTGTAACATTGATCAGAAATGGGAAAATATAAAAGTAACAATAATTAAAACAGCAAAACAAAAAATCCAATTAAATATAATGAAACTGATCGATTAATTCAAAAGAGAATAAAAGAAGCTAAGGCAGAGAACTACGCGTTCGTAGTTCTCTGGCTAAGGAGAGAATGTTACATGAGCAGTGCCAAGAACTAGAAGAAATTGAGAAAAAATATGATTTTTTTTAACATGCATAAAAGAATTAGAGAATTAACAGGAATGAGAAAAACACTTCATAGGCAACTAAGAGATGAAAGTGGGGCACTTATGGAGATGGACACAATATATAGCACAACTTTTTGAAGACAAAGAGAGAACCGAAGCACCAAAAGAATTTAAGGATGATACTAGGCCTGACATTATACGAGAAGAAATTGAATATGCAATGAAACAAGCTAAAGGTGGTAAATCTCCCGGGCCTGATGAAGTTCCTATCGAATTACTCAAAATTGTGAATACTGAATCTATTGATCTTCTTTTGGGTCTATTTAATACCATATTTATATAGAACAGGCATAATACCTAAAGAATGGCTCCAATCAACATTCATACTGTTTCCCAAAAAAGCCAATGCAAAGGAGTGCAATGAAGATCACACTATAGCCTTAATGAGTCATGTCTTGAAATTGTTTTTAAAAGTAATTCACAAAATTGCTTAGATATAAATTAGGAAGTATATGCCTGTTTCATTGATTTTGAGAAGGCATTTGAGAGGGTGCAGCATAATCGGCTTAAAAAAATTCTATTAAATAAAACTATAGACAGTAGAGACATTAGAATCATATTTTACCTCTATTGGAACCAAACATCTAAAATTGAAAGTTGAAAATGAACTGACCGAGGATATCCAGATTCGCCGTGGGGTCCGCCAAGGGAGTATTTTATCACCCTTGTTATTCAATTTATACAGTAAAGCCATCTCAGAATTAGCGCTTGTCGAGATCAGTGAGGGCCTTATAATAAACGGTGAGCCACTTAATAACATAAGATATGCTGACGACACCGTCCTTCTAGCAGGAACACTAGAATAACTGCAACACCTTGCTGAACAGCTAAATATAATTATATTGCAACGATTATGGACTAAAAATAAATTTGAAGAAAACCAAGTTCATGGTATTTACAAAAGCACAAAACATCAAAGTTAAGCTAGTACTAGATAATACAGAAATTGAACAAATATCTTCGTACAAATACCTTGGAGCATGGATCCCAGAAGATACTGATCAGACAAAAGAAATAAGATGCCGCATTGAAATTGCACGGTCAACTTTTAATAGAATGAGAAAACTTTTTTGTAATTGCGATATCAATATATCGCTCCGGATAAGAATACTTCGATGTTATATTTTCTCTACCCTTGTGTATGGAGTTGAAGCTTGGACACTTAAAAAATCCAACATTAAAAACCTAAAAGCATTCGAAATGTGGTGTTACCGACGTATTTTGAAAATATCATGGATGGATCGCAAAACAAACTAACAAGTTCTCGAATAACTAGGAAAACAATGCGAAGTTTTAAATTCCATAAAAATCAGAAAATTGGAATACTTGGGGCACATCATGAGAGGTGAAAAATACGAACTACTAAGGAATATAATGCAGGGTAAAATCAAAGGCAGAAGAAAGGTAGGAAGATGTAAGATCTCGTGGCTACGCAATCTCCTTGAATGGTTTGGATGCAGTTCAATTGAACTATTCAGGCGCGTAACCAACAAAATTATAATTGCCAGAATGACTTCCAATCTCCGATAGGAGCGGAACTTGAAGAAGAAGAAGAAGACTACGAACTAGGTGACTACATCATTGTAGATTACGAGGAGAAGCATTTTCTAGGAGTAGTAGAAGAAATAACAAAAGATAAATTCAAAATTAAAGCTATGAAAAAAATAGGATATTATTATCAAAAAATTGTTTGTTTATTTGCACCGTCTCAGTACAGTAAGAAAAGGGGTCTTTTTTCTGTTCCTGAGATAAATAATTTCTAAGTCTTTCTTAGGTCTTTGCTCTTATGCAGTAAATGAAAAATAAAAAAGACTGTTGCTAAGTAACTTATGAAAGTTTTATTTTATTTAGTTTTTCTATGCCCCTTCTATATAAAAATTATGTTTTTATGCTTCTGTATTTTTTATACCTATTTTGAAAACATTAAAATAAATATTTACAAAAAATACAGTGTGTACAGTTTAAAATTATTTATTCATTTTTTTATTAATTATTTTGATAAAAAAGACATCAAGCTATCAAATATACTTTAAATCTATTTTCTCTATTATTTATTTTCCTTAATATTTACGTTTAAAGTCAAATATTCCTTAACTGGGCAGTTATTAGGACGGTTTACCTTAGGCCGAACAGTTCTGACGAGCGGGCGTTTGAGTAGCTGCATCAATTACAATGTATTAATAGTATATCTATAAGCAGGACGTCCCAAGGGACATTAACACGGGACAGCGAAGATAGCTGACGGGACAAGAGCTTACCCCGCGAGAAACCCTAGTAGTGATAATAATAATATAGCTATTGAACACGCATATTGATTTCTATTGATACAAACTATAAGTAGAGAAAAACCTTAAATCAGTTTATTAGCCACATTCTTTTATTTTCAGTGACAGCTGATACAATTTGCCTTAAAAATGACGCAAATGTATTCGTTAAAAAAAATCATTAAAGTCAATCGTTAAATAAAACTCGCTAAATATGATAATATTATAAAATATTCGTCTTTGAGAAATATTTACTTTCTTATAAAAAAAAATAGTTTTAAAATTGCATTTGTTTACGTTAAAAATTAACAAAGAAGTGTCACTGGCACGCCATTGCAAATACTTTAATGGTTGTTAATTGTGCACTCACCTCGTCGCATCCAGCACACCTTGGCTTCATTTTTTCAGCGTAATGTCTTTCGCAATATATATTATCCTCGTAAACACAGTAAGCAAGATCCACTAGGAGATCATCACAGCTAGTACACTGCAACCAAACAAAAAATGTATCGATAAATAATGTATTAAAACAGATTATTTTTGTGGTAAATTTAAATTCATTAATTTTTTTATTGTATGCGATTTCCAAAGACGTACAAGTACGAGTGTGGACATTATGAATAGGGGAACTTTGATAAAATTTTAAATTCGAAAAAAAATGTGATAAATCACAACAAAACAAAATTTAATTACTATTTATAACTGGGAATAAGCCACAATTAAAGATAAAAATACGTTTATTGACGTTTCAATTTCCAATTCGGAGAATTTTGATTGAGAGAACGATTTTGATTGAGAGAACGAGAATTGAGAACGATTTCCGAATTGGAAATTGAAACGTCAATAAACGTATTTTTATCTTTAATTGTGGCTTATTCCCAGTTATAAATAGTAATTAATTTACAATGCCACAAGAAAATAGCTTCAATACAATATAAAAACAAAATTTAAAATATATATATATATATATATATATATATTATATATATATATGTATATATATATATATATATGTATATATATATCCGGTTTTTTAGGCGTTACGCCCGTCCGGTAGGGATCTATGGAGGAGTATCACCAAGCCGCAAGCCCTTATCTCTTGCCGTACTGCTCCACCATAGGCCGATCAGATCCCAGCATATCCTAGTCTAAGCCGCATATTCATCTAGAATTTTAAACTGCTGCGTTAGACTTTTTTTTTTTTCAGTACACCGAGCTGGGGCTCGAACCCACATCCACTGAACCATTCGACAGTGAAGCGAATGAGAGGCAGCCGCACAGCCCGCTGAGCTATCTGACCGATAGCTATATATATATATATATATATATATATATATATATATATATATATATATATATATATATATATATATATAAGGATCACTCAGACGAGTGGTGGGTTCTTATGTTACATTGGTCAAACTGGTAGATCATTAAAAGGTCGTATCACTTCACATCGTAGTGACATTAATTTATCAAAACACACTTGTGCCCTGGCACAACACGCGATAAATACCAAACATGAAGTGGATTTCAATGAAGTTAAGATCCTTGCCACTGAACGCAATCTAGCTAAAAGACAGTTTTTGGAAATGTGTTCAATACTAAAACACCCTAATGCTTTGAATAAGAGAACTGACATAAGTAACTTGAGCCAAATATATCATGCTTTAATTTTGCAGAATTAGGCTTCTTGATCTTTTCACTATATTAATGTCATATTAGGTGTACTGTTTGAACCTTTTTCTATTTTTCATAAAATAATTTATATACATAAAATAGAAACAAAATACATAAATATCTTAATAAAATAATTTAATATTCTTTACTTAATTTACTATTACATATGCAACTTACATTGCATTTTCATACACTGATTACCTTGATTAGTGTTAACAATTTTATACTTAAATAATACAAATATTGTAATTCATTCATAGAATCCTTTGCAAATCACAGTTCCAAGTATATTGAACCTTGGGCTGTTTGGAAATTAATGGGTCGTTAACCGCCTGTGGCTGTTTAACGAGCCATAATGATTAACGTTATTACATACTTGTGAGGTTGAATGAAAATCTCCTGTTTGTAAATCTGGGCTGATTAGTGAGGGGAGTTGCTATTACACTACCAACTTCTTTCACTGTTTTGTCTTTTACAACCGGGTAGTCATCCAAACTCATTTAAACTTAAATTGACCGCCCAAAATTTGGGTTGGTACCTACACCTTGTTGATCTGTCGAAAGTATTTTTGACCTTAAGGTTGGCTGTTTTTTCGCGGTTTAGTTCGTTCCTGTTTCATTTAACGCCATTTTCCCGGCGACATTTGTAGGGCTTTGATCGGTAACTTCATTTATACTACTTTTGAAATTTTATTAATATCACTTATAATGCTACCTAAAGTTAAAATCAAAGCTTAATATTCATTAAATAGTTGGAAGTTATCTATGATTTTCTTGGTTCTTTCTCACTAATTAACATTAAATAACATTTAATTTACTTTAGACCACATGGTCATTTGCTGTGCTAATTTTATAAGTTCATATATGTTGTTAGTTACTTAATTGTTTATACAAAATCAGCGTATTATGTCCATTTACTTAGTTTCATTCACATTATTGTTAATAACATTGACTGCTACATGTCTTTTTAAGGTAACAATTAACATCGTTTCCATGATTGTGTGGTTCTCATATTGTAAATGAACTGATGATGCTTTCAAAACTCGAAAGCGAAACGTCTTCAAAATAGATAAAGTAGCCTATCAACTTTGTCTTTTATTTCTCCACCTAGAGACCGATATAAGAACCCACCACTCGTCTGAGTGATCCTTATATATATATATATATATATATATATATATATATATATATATATATATATATATATATATATTGGATTGACGGTCGTACTCCTTTTTCCGATATATATATATATATATATATAATATATATATATATATATATATATATATATATAGATATATATATATATATATATATATATATATATATATATATACATATATATATATATATATAATATATATATATATATATATAATATATATATATATATATATATATATATCAAAGAAAAAAGTTGTTTTTGTCTTTCGTTTTTCCCCTAAAAACGATTAGAATCCAGAGAAAATTCAAATTATAGCAGCCAGTCCAAAACGTGCCATCATTGGTCGTGACTTCATATAGTAAGAATGTTCAAGGATGGGCACCTTTAATTCAATACGTTTGACATTCGATACTCTCTCTTTGTCTGTGGAGATGATGAAGAAGATTAAGAATTGTACAATGAATCGGTCCTTCTCTTCCTATCCATCTGTTAAGAAATTGCTCATTCAATTCACATTAGATGAAGTTATGAAGAGAAAGAGCTTCGTCACGTAAATACCATAATTGTTGAAAGATAACCTCTCCGTTTACTGTCTTCTCGGACATGAAAGATCCTATTACATTATTACCTAATATACCATCCCAAAAGTTTAAGAATCACCTAGTTTGACTCTTCGTAATAATCTGGGAATGTAGGAGAACAGACCTATTGGAAGACCGAGAAAGCGATGGGAGGATGATGTGGATAAGGACTCAAGAAATCTTGGCAGCCGATCGTGAAGGAGAATGGTTAGAGACTGTAACGAATGGAGAGGTTTGCTAAGAGAGGCCAGGACTCGAATTGGACTGTAGATCCATAGAATGGATGGATGGACGAGTCTATATTAACAGTATTATATTATGTAAGAACATTATAAGGGCTGTGGTTTGCTACTATACAGAAGGCAGGTTGAAGATTGTTTGTAGTTCATAAAGAAATTTATATTCTACACTTTGTTAAACAAAGCTGTAAACATATTTCGATTAGAACACCTGACAAAATAATAAACCCGTAAGTGCGCCGCTAACTGAAAAAAATGGACACTGCTGTTAAGCTGACGATGCTGTGGTATCTAATACTCAGCCTTCTTCTTTTTCAGCTTTTTCCCTTTTCTGGGGTCGCTTTTTCTTACTATTCGTGGCCACTCTCTCAAGTATTCTGCCACACAGACCTTTCATCTTCGTCTTTGTTTTCCTCTACCTCTTCTTCTATCAACTTCTAACAGCTCTATCCATGGTCTCACATAGTTTTTATCTCGACGTCTGACATGGCCAAACCATTGTAGTATTTGTTCTTGAATCTTTTTTTGAGGTTGTAGTCAACTGTCCCTTCTAGTCTTATCTAACATCAAACTAACATTTTCATTTCAGCTACTTCCATCTTCTTTTTCTAAATCTTCTTTACAGGCCACACTTTACCGCCGTAGACCAATGCAGGTCTTACCACACTCTTGTATATCTTTTCTTTCAGCTCTTTGATTAGTTAAACCAACCAGCCTGTATCCTGTGGGCAATTTTTCCATCTAGTTTCGCATTTTCCGTTGGAGCCCAAGTTATTTAAATACTTCTACGTTTTCTCCAAACAATTCTATATCCCCAACCATTCCACTTCCTCCCAACCACATATGCTCCGTTTTCGACCTGATAATCTTAATTGTTCACTCTTTAACAGCCCTTGTCCAACCCTCCAACTACTCCAACATTTCTTTGCTCTCCTATACTAACACGATATCATCTGCAAAGAGCATTGACCAAGGAGTTCCCTTCCTTACTTTCTCTGTCAGTACATCCATAACGAGGTTAAACAGATAGGGACTCAGAGAAGAGCCTTGATGCAAACAAACTATTATTGGAAAACTTTCGGTCAATCCAACAGAAGTCCGTAGTTTTTAATACTCAGTACCTTAGTATCTAATACTCATTATCTAATATTCAGTACCTCATCAAAATTTCAATATCGTAGGAATCAATCCACAATGATTACAGAGCATGGTTAATCTTAATATGAACACTCTGAAGATTAAGCTGATAAAATCAACTAAGTTTCTGCAATTTCTAAAATATTTAGACACTACAGAGTAACGCTAAAGATTAGTTCAAAGCAACAATGAAACAATATCCTAAATTTTCATCAGCAATAGGAAAACCCTATCAAAATGCAGTCTCTACTTAAAAATCATGGCTCGATTGCAGCGTCACTATTCATCACATTCATCCCATATTTTCTCCGACTAATGTACGACACCATATATCATGTTATTTGGCGAACACTTACTAATATTAAAGTCAACTAATTACAGCTTTACGAAGAGCCATGTCTTGTAGAAAAGAGCTAGAATGGGATTTTTGAGATACCTGAAACGTATGCGGGAAGACATTTTTTGTTTTCATTTTCTCACAGAATTTCCGAATCCTGTAAATCGATTCAAATCTATATTCTTTATTAGGTGCCAACATTACAGTAATACAAACATTACAATAGATGGACTAGTCAATACCCTGGAATTACAATACTTATATTAATTAAATTAGTTCTGTACTAGATAAACTCGATCTCTCCTACGATGTAGGCAACCTAAAATACAAATCGTATACATTCAAA